ACAATTAGAGGACAAAATTGAGCAGTGGATTACTGAACAGAGAACAGCAGGTAGAAGCGTCTCTACAGTCTCCATTCGACTTAAGGCAACAGCGATGGCACGAGATATGAAGATCAACGAATTTCAAGGAGGTCCTTCTTGGTGCTTCCGTTTTATGAAAAGGCGTCATCTCTCCATCCGCACAAGAACTACCACTTCGCACTTGGCAACTGCCAAAGGATTATGAAGAAAGGATGGCCATCTTCCGCACTTACTGCAAGGACAAGATCATCGAAAAGAAGATCCAGTCAGACCACATCACAAACATGGACGAGATCCCTCTCACCTTTGACATCCCCGCGAACCGTACTGTAGAAAAAACAGGGACGTCTACTGTATCTTTACACACCACAGGGAATGAGAAATCATCCTTCACTGTAGTTCTCGGTTGCCAGGCTAATGGCCAGAAACTACCACCCATGGTCATTTTTAAGAGGAAGACTTTGCCAAAAGAAACGTTTCCTCTTGGGATCATCGTCAAGGTCAATCCAAAAGGCTGGATGGACGAGGAGAAAATGAGCGAGTGGCTGAGAGAAGTTTACGTCAGGAGACCAGATGGCTTCTTCCACAAGTCTCCGGCCTTATTGATCTACGACTCTATGTGCGCTCATCTCACTGACACTGTCAAAAGCCAAGTGAAGAAAACCAATTCGGAGCTTGCCATCATTCCTGGAGGATTGACCAAAGAACTCCAACCACTAGATATTGGTGTCAACAGGGCGTTCAAGGCTAAATTGCGAGCCGCATGGGAGCAATGGATGACAGAAGGTGAGCACACATTTACCAACACAGGCAGGCAACGCCGGGCTAGTTATGCCACTATCTGCCAATGGATCGTCGATGCCTGGGCTAAGGTATCGGTTTCAACTGTCGTCCGAGCTTTCACGAAGGCCGGAATCATCAATGACACAGCCAAGCAACAGCAATGAGACTGAATCGGATGATGACGAGAGGGATCCAGGCTTGCTTGATGCCGCTATCGCCCAACTGTTAAATTCCAACACCGAAGACGAGGAATTTGATGGATTCATAGAATATGAATGATTGAAAAAGTGAGCATACTCTTTTGTGTAATATCTGACCTATCCGGCTATTTTGTTTCGCTTTAATATTGTGTAATATTGTGGTCTGACTGGATCTATTGTGTAATATTGACAGTTATTGTTAATGATTTGAATAAAGTCTGACTTATCCGACTATTTTGTTTCGCTTTATGCGCCTTATAATCCGGTGCGTCTTATATATGAAAATAGATCCGTTCACTAATACTGCGTCACAACCCCCTGATGAAGCCTTCATGAATGCCTTTACCCAGAGAATATTTCACTATTAGAACCAGGAAAATGTAGTCCAAAAAAATGTAGGGTATGCAACAGAGAGGGAGCTAGGAGAGACACCAGTTTTCATTGTCCCCAATGTCCCTCCCAACCGAGCCTATGCTTCTGATGTTATCGCACGTCACTAAAGTATTAGTTCTCCTTATTTCTACAGCCTGTCATTTCCCCATTTTTATTAACTGTGCTGATCTTTTGTCTGCTGCCTTGATTGACCATGTCGCTGCCTTCCACCTTAACTGACCCTGGCCTGTTTATTGACAATGCCTCTACTTTCCATCTGGATTGTTTATAAACCACATTTCTGCCTCCCACCTGAACTGACCCTGGCCTGTTTAGACACGGTCTCTGCCGGTCATCTGGATTGTTGATCATACACATTTCTACCTTCCACCTGCATCGTCCTCAGCCTGTTAAATGACTATGTATTTTGCCTGCCGCGTGGAGTGACGTTTTGCCCTGCTACTGTAGTAGTGGGATTCAAGATAAAACAGACGTCTCACAAGAGAGGGGCTTCAGAGTAGAGTTCCGAGTAGAGAACAACAGGTTTTGATTGTCTCCAGGTTTTGTAATGCCCAGATCAGAGTGCTAGTCTGGAGAATTCAAAGCGATTGGGTGGGACGAAGCCTCTACCCCTGTGCCCCAGTCTTACCAAACCGAGGCCCTAAGCCTGAAGTTCCTTCCTGCTGCCTAGGCCAATACTCTCTGCCTGACCATATCTCTGCCTGCACTGACCCAGGACTTTTTATGGACCATGTTCCTGCCTGGACCAATATTGGCTGTGTTGACCATATCTAGTCTTGCTGCCTGTACTGACCCAAGACATTTTATGGACCATGTTCTTGTCTGCTGCCTGTTCTGACCCTGGCCTGTTAATCCACCACATTCCTGCCTGCTGACTTGACTATTCTTGTGGCTGTTGCCTGATTCCTGGTCGGTCCAATGCTGTCCTCTGCTGACAACTGCTCTACTAAAACCACATTTTCAAAAACTAGTGGAAAAAATAAATGACATGTTCAAAAGACTCATCAGACCTCAATAACTATACACTGAAGTGTTTACTTTACAAAATGTGGTCATTTTGTGGGTGTTTCCACCATCCTAGTGCTCCAGGGCCTTCAAAACTGTGATAGGTACTCAAAAAATTAGATGTGTAATTTATGCTCCTAGAATGCCTGAAGTAGCTACTTGGATGTTGGGTCTCTGTATATGGCCAGGCTGTGGAAAAGTCTCTCACGTGGTATCGCCATACTCCGGAGTAGCAGAATGTGTTTTGGGGTGCAAATGCAAGTATGATTATGCCAGCTGTGAGAAATAACTTGTTAATATGCCAAAAAAAAAAAAAAAAAAAAAAAAAAAAAAAATTTCCAAAGAATTGTGGAAAAAATTACAACTTCAAAAAAACTAAAAAAAAGTCTTTATTTTTCAAAATTTGCAGTATTTTTTGCTTAGGTCTCAAAAATACAAAACCCAGTGGTGAATAAATATCACCAAAAAAGGCTCTATTTGTGTTAATAAATGATACAATTTTGTTTGGGTACAACGTAGCATGATTGAGTAATTGTCATTCGAATTGTGAGAGCACTGAAAGATGAAAATTGGCCCGGGCAGGAAGGGGGTAAAATCCATACCAGACCCTCATCCATCAATAGGGTCTGCTATTTCAGGGCTTTAAAAAGCCGCTCGCCAAATGCGAGGAGAAATTCTTGTGTGGCAAGCGGCGAGCACAGATGATGGAGCGGCTGCACCTGTGCTCCAAGCCTCATTGTGAAGCCGAGCTCCGGTTTCCAACTTCCGGTTTCTTCAGCACCACCATTACACTGGCAGCGCCGCTGAGGGGACAGGTGCAGGAGAGGTCCACTCTCCTCCGCTGAGAGGAGACACCCTCTCCACCGCCACGGGGGACTAGAGGAGAGGTACACTCTCTCCCGCCGCGGGGGACATGAGGAGAGGCCCGTATTACACAAGTCTTGGTCCTGCTGTACAACGAAAACCATTGCAAATCTTGATGTGAAACTGGCTTTCTACTGCTTTTTGGCATCCAAAAAAAATTATTTTTTGGTGTTTTTTTTCTTAATTGAATAGAATGCAATCCACACACAGCCATTGAAGTGGTATTTTGCATCAGAAAAAGGGTATTACACAAGTCTTGGTCCTGCTGTACAACACAAACCATGGCTGCTCTATTAGCACATCTTTGGTAAAATGTTTACTATTGTTATGCCATGTTTTTTGGCATCTAAATAAGCACTTTGTTTTTTCTTAATGCACTACTTCTCTAAGCTCTCTTTTAATAAGATGCAAAATGTTTACTATTGTTATTTATTTTATGCAATGTTTTTGGCCATTGAAAGAGGCACTTTTTTCTTTATGCCACACTTCTCTAAGGTTTCTGCTGGAGATAAAAAAATACATGTTTACAGTAACTATTATTCCACGCTTTTTGGCATCAAAATAAGCACTTTTTCTTATGCTATACTTCTGTAAACTAAACTTACATCTTTTAAAAGAGACTTTAGTTACTAAAGTCTCTTTTTAAAGATGCAGGAGATAAACAAAAAAAAATACAAAATGTTCACTACGGGTTTAAAGCTGTAAAACTTGATATTTTGATTGCACCCTATTGCTATTAAGCTATTGCTGTTATGTTTAAAATTGACATAACGCTATGTTATAATTACAGTTTTTTATATTTTGGACTCTTTATTCTAAAGAAAAATGTAATTTCATAAGCTTTAAGGGGGCGTGGTTGGGGGCAGGGCTGGCGGCGGACCTGGGCAAGGTTGGGTGGGGCAATTGGTGGAGAGTAAGGTTTGTGCCTGGCTAGTAGGTCTAGACTTGAAATTTTAAGCCCTGTGATATTTACAGTATATAAAGAGCAAGTCTGGCATAAATGTAAAAAAGTGTGGGGTTCCCCTTTAATATTCATACCAGAAACAGATTCATCTTTAGGGTCTGATATCAATATAAGGGGGAGCACTAACCAGCACTCTATAGAGGCACATATCACAAAACCACACTTAAAATAATTTGTGGCTTCACCAATAAATATAATGAAGGGACCAAAATCAGACCAAAATAATAAAAAAAACAAGTCATGTGATCAATCTCATTTGTGTGCCTTTTATTTATGTAATTTCTTGCCCTAGATATGGTTTGCGTCTTACCGGCTGAGCAGCACACTATTCACTGTAGAGAGGAATGGACTGAAAGCGGTGACAACCATTACGCCCCTTTCGCCACCCATATGAATGTCCAGAAAGGCCACCTACATCAACTCCCGGATCTGGTACAAGTGACTCCCATAGCATGCCCTGAAACTACAGAGATTCAAAGGATCATGGGACGTGTAGTTTTAAGACGGGCAAAGAAGCCAGATAAATTTGAAAGGCAGCTGGGAGGAGTGACATCACAGACACAGAAACCTTCTGTACACAGCTAAAGGAGGGAAGGTACACACAAACTGGCAGTGTGGCTTAGCTTCACTCACAGAGACTATACATTTGTTGCTGTGGGGAAAAAAATACTCGAGATCAGCTTTAACAAATGGTGTTAAGAATTGTGAGGACACCTGAATTTGTTTTGAAAGTATGCAATTGTATACAATAGGGACCCAAAACAGCTTACCAGAGCAGACTTCCCAACACCTCCAGAACCAAGAACCACGAGCTTGTACTCGCGCATGATGGTATTCTGTTTGTCAAATTCTAAGGGAAACTGTAAAAAAAAAAAGCTTTAATTAAATTTACCATGGACATTCAATCATTTTTTTTTACATTTGAATGATGCAGAGAGGGTTATAACCTTTCAGGTTTTTATTGTGTTCTTGTTAGAGAGATTCTGCACATAAAATAAAAACAAAAAATAGGTATGGCTTTTATGTCTAATTTACACATAACAAATGCAGACAAATGAGGAGGGAAAAATAAAACACAAACCAGATCCTTTATGAGTAACATATCCACAGTAAAAAAGTATACTGAACCATGGACTACCTGAATATGCTTCAAGAATAGAGAAAAATATAGCAAGGACACTGGCAAACAAAATTGTTAGGACAGCCCCATACAACCCCTCCCACTTGCAGGAATGCTTATTTTGTTTAGCAATCAGAAAAAAATGCCATGTCAGAGACGAGGGTGTCCTGTACTGTACTCCAAGAAAATAAGAATTTTGACTTACTAGTATATTCAATATCTTGGAGTACAGTACAAGACTGGTATTTATAGATTATAGGTTATACAGTGGGTATACTCCCATTTAAAATAATCACATTTTGTTGAAATCTATCACTAATTGAAAAGCAATCCTGCCCCTTGTCAGTGCAAATTAATATCAACTGGGTCAGTCTCAACTGATGGCCTACAAAAAGGTGTCTCATTACCAAGGTGTCACACAAGAAACATCTCATGATAGGTAAAAGCAAAGTGCTTTCTCACAACCTTCGCAACCTTATTGAAGGCATTGTTACAGAAGGATTTCTAAACTTCTGAATGTTCCAGTGAGAAGTTTCCGTTGTCTGAGGAAGCAATGACAGATCTCGTACATTCCACTCAGAATTTTGGAAAAAAAAAAAAATCTGTCCAGTACTGGGCTAATGCCTCCCATTTGGCTTTAGGGCTGTGAAAAGAAGCACTGAAATTGTTCTTCTGTAGAAATGGTAGAACCACTCCTTGGGCCTTAAGCTGGCGCAAGACAGTCATCAAAGCCCTTTTTTAGGTCCGATTCTGGCAGACTGGAAAGTAAAAAAGCGATAAGTGGGCAAGAAAAGAACTTCTATTGCAGGCATCACTAAATGGCGGACTCTGGTCTGGATCCAGAATGGGACAGGACTCTGTAATATGCAACGAGGACCGTGATGGGGCAAACTGTTATGGGGGGGGGGGGGGATGATGATGTCTGTGATTTGGAGGGGGGGGTCTGTGATGGAGTAGTCAGTGTGATTGGTGGGGGGTGTGGGGGGGGGGTGGAACGTGATGGGGCGGTTTGTTATGTAAAAAGGGGGGTGGGGGAGGAACTGTGATGAGCACAGAGGGCCATGATGTGAAGGATCTGAGTCATAGCACCAACATGACACTTGGACTTAATTCAGTACCCAGTTCTATTCTCTAACCCTTTAAAATGAGAGATTGAATTCAGAGGTCCGGGACACTCCAGATTAATGAAATTATCAACAGATGCTCCCAACTGAGGATTTTTCTGGGCTGAGCCAGTCCTCAAAGTGCACAATCATCCTATGTGTGTATGGGAGAAGTCTTTTTAGATAAAGCAAGTCTCCTAGGGCACGGTTTTGGCCATTGAGAGGCAGATGTTGTTAGGCAAAGACTAGTACGCAGTACACCAATTATGATGCTGGGCCTATAAAAGGTCCAGGCTTCACCAATCACAGTGGACATAACCTGGATCTGGATGTGTAGCACCTTGCAGCCAACGTTACAGATTGCACTTTGTGTCAGGGTGAACACAGAATCATAAGTAAAAATTACAGGCGGGCCATCTCACAGTGAAGTTGGGGTATGACCCCCGAGGTACACACTGAGGGTAACTGATCAGGACACTGCAAGCGCAAGGCAATGAGCAGTCAGATGATGAAGAATCAGATGAAAAAAAAAACTTCAATAGATTAAAAAAATAAGTTATTTCTCTGAAGGAGAAGTCATCAATAACCTAAAGAAACCAGCAAAAAAAACAGGAACATCATGGAGTTATATAGGTGCACTCTAGGAGGGGCCATAGCAAAAGTTTCTGCCAATCACCCAAAGGTAGCAGCATATATCCCATGGTTTATGAATAGCAGTCCTGTACAATTAAGTTAAGGATTTTACAGTTAAATAAAAAGGTAATAGGGATGTTCAATTCATATCACACGATGCCTGCAACTTGTAGCTCTGGGCACCGTGCAGGTAGGTAGTTTTTTTTTTTTTTTTTTTTTTTATCTTTAGCCCTGCTACAAGCAAGCAGTAGGGCTCATCTGTCAGGTGCAAGCATTTGGGCGGCAGCACTGCTGCCTGATTGCTTTCACACAGCCCACTATGATGCCCCCTGTCCACTGTCTCCCAGGCTCCGCTTGCCCATCCGCGGGCCCAGGACCAGTTCAGTAGGTGCAGGCAGGTATCCCCATTGACAGATTTGCCAGCAATAGAGGCCGGGAAAGAATGTAATGCAGTGCGATATACACTGCATTACATCCAGTGTAGTACAGGGGAGACAAGCAGGGTCTTTTTTATCAGGACAAGTAGATTGTCATGAGGGACAAGTAGATTGGGGCACCTTTGGTCTTTGGACAAGTAATTTTTTTAAAAATGTCCACACCCCTGGGTAAGTAAAAACTATTTCTTAATCAGTAATGGACATACTCTAAGTCTTCACCATGGGATGTCCCCCAGCAATACTTATAGTGGGAAAAATTATTTGATCTCCTGCAGATTTTGTAAGTTTGCCCACTTACAAAGAAATGAAGGGTCTAAAATGTTTATCAAAGGTGTACTTTAAATGATAGAGACAGAATATCAACCAAAAATCCAGAAAAGACACAATACAAATGTTATAAATTGAGTTGCAGTTCAGTGAGTAAAATAAGTATTTAATTTACTACCAACCACTCTTGCTCCCACAGACTGGCTATGTGCTCATGTTGTACACAGATTAGTCGTGTTAATTTAAGAAGGTACTCCTAATGACCCCTAGTTATGTGTATAAAAGACACCTGTCCACAGAATCTCTTTCTTCCATTCAAATGCCCATTCCATTGGGCAACACCAAAGAGCAGTCAAAGGACATCAGGGACAAGATTGTATACCTGCACAAGGCTGGAATGGGCTACAAGACGATCAGCAAGAAGCCTGGTGAGGACACAACTGTTGGAGCGATTATTCGCAAATGGAAGAAATACAAAATAACCATCAAATCGCCCTCGGTCTGGAGCTCCATGCAAGATTTAACCTCATGGGGTAAGGATGATCATGAGAAAAGTGAGAGATCAACCCAGAACTACACGCGTTTCGTCATCGACGTCTTCGCTCCGTGAGGACGTCGATGACGAAACGCGTAGGGCGGAGCTTGATCGATGTGACGTCATTACGTTTCCAATGAGCTACTGCGCATGTGCCGAGTAGCTGGGTCTGTTTTGCTGTGATTGCTGTTGATGCTGGTGTCGGCTGGGACACCCTTTGAGTTAAGTACAATGAGTACTAAATAAAGATGTTGTTTTAATAATACTGCACCATGAAGCTCTTCTGTTTCTTCCGAGTGTCTGGCATTTCCCTCTTTGGATACGTTTGAAGGTGGCTTTCTTGAGAAGTGGATTTCCTTGATGATAATTGATTTGAAAGTAAATTGCTCCATCTGAAATTGGTCTATGTGGATCTGGGCTCTGCAGAATACTATTCCTTGAAGATACATCTATGAATGACTTATCATTATTATTAATACTACTGTTCCCAGAGCAATACATGGTTTAAAAATATTTTTTTAGCTCTGGTGAGTTTAATTTTGGTGGTGGTATTGTCACTTTATATATATTTTTTGGTGCACGTTTTTTGTGTTATATTTTTTAAAGTGTGGACATTTTTTCATATATATATATATATGTATATTTTTTTGCACCATTTATATATTTGATTTATGGAGATAATTTTATATTTACTAGCGCAAAATTTTTTTTGTGTTATTTACTACACCTTATTGATTTATGGTGATTTTTTGCAGCTGGTATATTATAATAAGTGATTTATAGATATATATATATAGATATATTTTTTTCCTTTTCCATAGGCGCCATTATATATATATATTTTTTCTATTACATGTATAGGCCCGTCTGAAGTTTGCTAATGAACATCTAAATGATTCAGAGAAGGACTGGGAGAAAGTGCTGTGGTTAGATGAGACCAAAATTGAGCTCTCTGGTGTTCACTCGACATGTTTGGAGGAAGAAAAATGCTGACTAGGACCCAAAGAACACCATACCTACAGTCAACCACAGCGGTGGAAGCATTATGCTGTGCAGCCATTTCTCTAATAAAAGGTACAAGTCGACTTTGCAACATTGAGGGGCCAATGGACGGGGCCATGTATTGTAAAATCTTGGATGAGAACCTTCGTCCCTCAACCAGAACACTGAAGATGGGTCATGGATGGGTTTTCCAGCAAGACAATTACCCAAAACATACTACCAAGGCAAGAAAGGAGTGGCTGATGAAGAAGCACCATTAAGGTCATGGAGTTACCTAGCTAGTCTCCAGACCTTAATCCTATAGAAAATGTATGGAGGGAGCTGAAACTTCGAGTTGCCAAGAGACAGCCAAGAAACCTTAAGGATTTAGGGAAGATCTGTAAAGAAAAGTGGACCAAAATAATACAGTGTGACAATCATAGGTGTATTTTAAATTATAGAGAGAATATCAACCTGAAATTCTGAAAAAAAAAACCCCACAAAGATACAAATGTCTATCTCACCAAGCTTCTTCTGATGGTCTTGTAGCGCATTCCAGCCTTGTGCAGGTCTACAATCGTGTCCTTGATGAACCTTGCAAGCTATTTGGTTATTGCCCATGGTGGTGAGGTTTGAATGGAGGAAAGATTCTGTGGACAGGTGTGTCTTTGTGTAAACATAACGAGTTGTTAGGCGCACCTTCTTAAAACTGACAGGACTAATCTGTGTACCACATGAGCCCATAGCCAGT